CTCGAAAGTCCAAACTTGGTAGGGGTACAGGCGACAGGATGGGAACACCTATGGTGGGGTCAGGACCAAACTCCTCCCACAGGAGGCGAGGTTTGAGCGGAAATTCATAAATCCGATAAAGGTCTATAATGAAAATCAGCTTATGCGGCCCCATCTCACATGGCTAGTGCCCCTAGCGCACGCGAGAGCGTGCGTATCCGCCTGGTAACTTCTTAAGGAAAACCATTTTGCAGTTTCAATTCCCATTTTCGTAAACAACACTCAAAACTCTATCGATTCATCTGAGTCTCCATTCAAAGTCCCACGGTAAATAGACTACCCTTCCCTGGTCAGTCTTTAAAAAAAAGTGTCCAGAGTGACAAACACTTCTCTACAACAACTGGAAGATGGACCGCTTCCAGTGGATAAGCTACCCGATGTAACAGCGCATGGGAAGTGCGATCGTATGGTGAACCTGGTAGCCTTGCGCTAGTAACGATCGAATCCAATTAAAGCTCTAAACCAATCAAACAATTTCAGCTCTTACGAGACTCTTCTTTAGTGTCCTCCTTGATTGGACTTGCAGCCGATGGTGGAGCTGAACTACAGTTTCGCACTCGCTCAGCATCAGGCCACCTAATATCCATCTTCCCATCAACGAGCATCCATCTTGATGGTGGTGTATGCGCAGTGCGTTCAAAGAGAATTATTTCTGAAAGTAATTCTCTAAGGAATCAATAAAGTGAAACTAATACATGCATGGAACTTCACAAATGCTCACCTTGCCCAAACTTTCTATAAGCATTGGCAAAGGACTCCTGAGGAAGAGGCAAATGCTCATCGGCTTCATCATCCGAACTACTGCAACCCTTTTTTGCAATATTTTAGATATGTTCAATGGAAACAAACCGTCTTACGATCTATTCAACAATGAATCCATTTCATCAAAAGAGCAAAATCGTTCAATTACGTCTTCAACATCGTCTTCATCACCGGGACTAGCTATCACTAATCCGTCTTCAGTCTCGCTATCATTTTCAGAACCTGAAAACAAGTAAACAGACTAGAAAGTGGAAAGCGTTGATATGTTTACCTTGCATCAAACGTCTACGATGAGTTTTGGAATTGAGATGTTTCGTCCAATTTCCTTTAGTTTTGAATGAAAAATTGCACTCTTTACATTGGTATGGACGAATATCAGAGTGCGATCTGAATTAAGGAGCGACGTTGAATGAACTGAAGCCGTGAATGAGAAGAAACCGGGAAATTGAGAAGAAATGGACATGGAGAACATATTGATTCTCTCATTTCAGGCCCATTCAAAGTTCTGCTGACCTTTCTGCGTCCTTTTTCCAGCCTAGAGTGATACTATTTAGCCAAACTCTAATCTAGTAAATATTTGATGTAGTAGATGAAAACCGAAATATCATGCTTCGTGAAAAATACCAACTAAAACTTCTTTAAAATAAATCTCAGCGTATAACGGAAAACTTTTCAAAGCCTGTATGATATTCAGATTTGTCACTCCACTGCACACATCAGACCTCGTGAATTTTTCCACTTATGTGGTGTTCACTGAGGCAATCAGTCTCTTACACCTCAGTGTCAATGAATGATAGCCTCCCTCCATTGCTACCTATTCTTTACAATTTTCCTGTTAGGAAACCTTGAAGTAAAAGCAGATTCTTGTGGTCGTGGGAAGCATATCAGCAATGTTTTTCAATTCAGCAAATCCTGACAATTCTCAAACATTAGACGGAATAATTTTCGAATGGACATGATGAAGCCGTTTGAAGTTTCTTCCAATGAATGACCATATTCGGAGATAGATAGTGTTAACGCTTGAGCAAGTACCTACTATGCTATCAGGTCGTTCGAGAAGTAATTTCGATTTTGGAGAACGATTTTTTTAGACGCTTGTTTGAAAAGCTTTTCATAATTTAAGACGCGTGATACATATTACAGGTATATACTTGCACTTTTTGAGGAGAAAATAAAAATTTTCATAACCATGCGTCGCGCATTGCCGCAACCTTTTGACACGCATTCCCACGAACTTTGCTGACCGACCATCCAGATTCCTCGTGCTCCCTTTTTTCCGCCTCGCCGTGTTCCAATTTAAGCCGCATTGATAAAGTTTGAACAACTGAACTACTGTGGTTCACCACCGAGGTAGACACAGTCCGAGTGGCTGGAATCTGAAGGCCCGCCATACCATGTGTAATTTTGAGATCAGTATGAACATGGAGTGTCAGATGGGGCAGATTTCTGGCAGATTTCACTTTTTCTACTGCCATATTGGTTGAACAAACGCTGGTGTTTTCAATATACAGCAGCGCTCAAAAGGCTTCGGCCAAATGCTTCTCCATGCGCACTTTCCAGTCGCAACTCCTTTCAGACTGGTTGAAATCATCCGAAATTTCGATATGTGCAGCATGAGTTTATTGTGAATATTTACCACTACTAACCTGCAATCTGATCATGTTCCAAATATTCCAAAGAGCTTGAACTCAAAATCAACCGGAAATACAGATGATAATCCATCTGAAACTTTCCTTTTTGCAATGTCTTAAAGGCACCGTTAACGATAAAAAGGTTACTGAGTTGTTCCTTTAGGAATATTCAGCGCCCCCCATGGGTGGTGGAAGGGACCCTCTCGCTAACACAATCTCGGCGCTTAGGGCATGGTGGAAGCCCTGTTGCTGCCGTAATTCGCTTTCCCGCCCCTCGATCGATGTCACGTTAGACGAGTGTCGAGACAGTAGAGGTTGCAACTATACGTTCTAGGACCCACACACAATCAGCTGATCGCCGAGTGATGAGGCGATGTTTTTCTCCCATTCTGTTTTCCTCTGTTTTTCTTTTTGCTGCCGCGATCCCTTATTTAATTTGCTAATCCTAGAGGCTGAAAAAGGTGAGCTACTTTTGCTGTTACTAGAGGTTTTTTTGTTTATTTATGCTTATAAGTAAATGAATTTTTGCTTACCATTGTGTGTTATTCGCACAAGGACCCACACGCGCGCAGTGAAACACACTGTTCAGCTCGTCTGGATGCCCCACTCTTCTTCATTTTTCTGGTTTCACTCTCGTCCAGCCCCCTTTTTAACGGTTTTTCGAAGCCTTTTTTCACTTTAGAAGCACCGATGCACGCAGTTTCTTCACCTCAGTCCCCCAGTTTCAATCTTTTCTTCCATTTTTTATCATAATCTGGATTACCCAAAATTATCGTGAACGGTGCCTTTAAGTGTACGAGCGCTAATGCCGAGAAGAGCGCACATAAGGTGCTGATAACTGCAGGCGTTACTAATTTTGCCTTTAGCGGAATCCGCTACTGCAACAACACCTTCCATTAGTTACGTGGGTATTGCTGCTTCGCAGTCAAGTTGTGCTATTTAGTGTGAAATATGTTATAGACAAACACATCAAAATTTCGCGCGATTCGCTCCACTACGATAAGAGTTACGAAAGAAAAAGCGCAAAAGCGTTTGGACGAAGACTTTTGAGCGCTACTGTAGTTAAAACATAATGTGACAATGTCTTAATACAGAGCACAAGTGAAAACTGGTCCACAACTTTTCGTTCCAGCCATTTATCACTTCAAGGTGGGCTGACCGATAGGCATGGATGACGATCTTTTGAACGTATTAACTTGAGCCCACCTTCATGTAACCCATGTACCGAAGACCAAAGAGGGAAGAGCAGCTTTTCGCCGAAGCCGCCGAGGCTAATCATTCGCAAAGCCTGCCGGAGCTCTACCAATTACAAGACCAAGATCTCCGTCGTCCTTATGCCCAGTTACTGCATCTCGATTAGCAATTGAAAAGGTCATCTACTACTTTTACTCGGATTACATCGACAACCATGTTCATCTGCCTACCTACCTCCTGAGGGTGGATTTTTCTTCGTTTTGTTCTCCTTTCGTAATTCGACTTGCCATTACGTCGATGAAGAATTGTACGGCGCCCGGTCCCGATAGCATCAAACCAGAAACCTAAAAAGCCTTCCGCCAGTCATTGTTAAGACCCTGGGTGTTTTCACGCGATACCTGTCGGAATGTAAAAAGCCACTTAGTGGAAAACTACAGGGTGCGCCATAAATATGGTAACAACTTTTATACGTCCGAAATTTGCTCGTTTGGAGGGTTTCTTCAAACACTGCACCCTCCTTTATGTTTATGATATACCTTATACTGCATATCTACTTTGGTGCTCTTAATTCGTCTGATTTTAAAAAACGGTGGAGCCTCGTAAACCTCCACCGATCGACCGTTCCGCCTTTGCGCGTATTTGGTGGGTCCCTTCTCGGAATCGCTCCTCGTTTCAAAATCTCCCACACTGACAGTCGCTTGAATCGCAATTCGATGACAGCTCAGCAACAAACCTCAAAATGGTCGTCTTGTCTCACATACTACCCCTTTTCCGAAAACACTTGCTTGGAAGGAGTACAAAACCTGCCGAAATACGAGAAAAATTACTGCTGATTTGTTTGTATTTTTTACTCCGATGAGAAGAGTCTACCTCTAGTAAATACAATTGTATCCAGATACCATACGAAAGCTCTATAAGCTTCTTAAAGAGAAAAAGTTGGAGAGGAAAAACAAATGTGGTGCGCTACTTGCGCGCGCCACGCGCTTCGACAAATTTTTTCTTGACTAAGGGATGTTCGGCGTGAAAGAGACGTTGAGACCCCAACGTATACATATATTTCACATTTCAAGTGCTGAAGCCGCCGAGAAGAGTCAGATCGGCTCTGACAGCCATTTTCCTTCATTCATGATGGTTTTTGTTAGAAACTCTACCACCAGAGCAATATCACAAATTTTGGTCGAAAAAAGTAGGGAATTCAATAAAACTCTTTAGGAAGGGTCCTTCTGAATAGATGCAGCTGGGGGTCAAAAATTTCTCCAGGGATACGACTTGAAAACTACGGCGCACCTGCTCACGAATGGAAATGATGAGTGGTGCTGAAGGAATGCTATCCCAGCTTCCAGTCCTCCTACAAATTTCCTGGACCACAATGTGATGGGTTGCTGGATATATTCATACTGGAGTGGAAAGCCTGCGCTTCATAACGCACCACTGTTGTTGCTCCTAAGAAATTACTGAAAAAAGTCCGGGCCAGTGTTTTTCAAGAAACCCTGCGGCTGTTGTCGAAGAGTAGCCGCAGCATTTTTGAACTATAATCAGTACAGGAGACGGTTATACAAGATGGCCGTGTGTTCGTTTTGTAGATGTGATGCATAGTAAATAACCCACATGAATTCACCATGTATCAATATGAACTGCGGTTTTCGTAGCCCCATTCTTTTGTTACCATATTTATGGCGCACCCTGTATAATAGCAAGACTGTGTTGCTGTATAAGCGGGGAGATCCAGACAATATTGGCAATCATCGCAATCTGATTGCTGCTTGTAAACTACGGGCTTTTCACACGCTTCAACCTGAACAGGATTGGCAGTATATTAGATGAAGGACAGCTATGCGGGCAAGCAGGGTTTCGGAGAGGGTTCAGTATAATTTAGCACTTCCCATTGTTACAATACTCACTGAGGTATCGCGAGAGTACAAGATGCCTTGTCTTACGCTCATCAATTTGGAGAAGGCTATCGATACCGTCGACACAGGAGCAGTACAAGGAACTCTAAATAAGCAGGGTGTTCCAACTCGATATACAAGGACGCTTCGTGAGCTCGACGACAACTTGACAACCAGGATTTCTCCATTACATAAGGAGGTCATTGTTAAGTGAGGAGACCATCTCGTTCAAATCCTTCAGTGTCCTTTTCGAGACATCATGCGTCGTTTGGAATGAAAAGGCTGGGAGTGAAGGTGGACGGCCGCTACCGGCTCCACAGATGGCATCGTGCTAACAACACACGAAGTCGAGCAGGTGAAACGAATGCTGTTCAATTTGGCAGCGCTCGAAAACAATGGCTCACGATTGAACCTAAGGAAGACAAAGTTCAGAGGAAACGAATTGGTACATGATGCTCTCTTCACGGTAAACACGACGAATATATTTCAGTCCAGTCAGATTGCCAGGCTCTCCTCCCTCTTGTGTCAATGTAGACCCGCTACCTATACTCTCTATAATTCAAGAGTTCTGGTTCAAGAAAACAAGCTGTTGATTCCCAGCGAAACACACACCGACGATCTTCGTGCGCATCCTGCCCCCC